GAGAGAGAGAGAGAGAGAGAGAGAGAGAGAGAGAGGAAGGAGGGGGAGGGAGGAAGGAAGGAAGGAAGGGAGGGAGGAAGAATTGTAGAAGAAATTATTGAAATTCAGGAGATACAGAAATTGGTGACACTAAAGGCATGTTATTTTTAAAAGTTAAACAAAACAGAAGGATAATATTATCAAATTTACAAAATAAATAAAGATTATAAAGGAAGACTATGAATAATGGTATGCCTGACATTGTGTAACTCTAGGAAGAGACCAATCACTGAAGACTTTTTAGCAAATAGGAAATCTGTACCAAGTACAATTTTTAATTTTTCAAGAAACTACTTACAAAGAAAAGCCTACAACCAGATGGCTGCAAGCTCAATAATACAAACTATTTAAAGAAGAAATAATACCAAGTCTTAAAAAAATCTCTTCCAAATAATAAAGGATAAGGAACTCCTGCCTCATTCTACTCATCCAGTACTTTCTTGATACAAAAACCAGGCAAATATATCAATCACAAAGAAATTAAAACACATCCCAATATCTGTTATCAATAGGTTTATGAAAATCAACCAAATACTAGCAAATTAAATTCAGCAATACATACATAAATATATGTTCCATATACAAGTGAAACTACCCCAAGAGTACAAGTTCATTCAATATCTGAAAATAAAGTAATATGATATACCATATCAATGAAGGAAAAACTAGAATTCCCATACTCAACTCAATAGATACAAATAAAGCATTTGAAAAATTCATCTTCCTTTCATGACTAAAATACTTCAATAGCTAGAGACAGATAGAGTATTGTCAACTTGAAATATGACACTGATAAAATAACTCATACCTCACATAATACTTAGGAATAAATGATTGGATGCTATCTCCTTAAAATCAGGTAGAAGACAGGGATGTCTGTTCTCACCAATTCTAATCAAAACTATACTGGAAGTTCTAGCACTGGCATTTAGTGAAGAAAAGAAAACAAAGGGCATGTACATTGGCAAGTAAGTAAAATTATATCTATTTGCTGATGACATGGAAATATGAATATATAATATATTCACACATAAATTCAAAACATTATTTATAAAAACATATATGATTTATACATATCAGAATTCACCAAAAACATTTAAGGAATTCAGCCAGATTTCAAGATGGAAGATCAATATAAAAATTGTTTCTCTATACCATTTCAAGGTACATATTAAAAATAAAAATTTAAAAATAATTTTAATTATAAAATAATCAGCAGAAAATCATACTTAGGTATAAATTTTACAAATGTACAAAATTTTGCTATGAAAATGACAATATTTCTTAAAGACATTAAAAATAATCTAAATAAAAGATTTTAAAATCCCATATTCATACATTACAAGAGTATTTTTTCTCTTTATTGTTGTGCTAGATAGGGGTACATTGAGGTATTTACAAAGGTTCTTGCAATATATCAACTATATCATGGTTGAATTCACACCCTCCACTGCTCATCTTTATCCTCCCTCTCCCATTCATGGAATAGTTACAACAGGTATCATTATTGCAATTACACATATGTGTACACATTTTTTGCACTATATTCACACTCCTACCCTCATTCTCCGCCACCTCCTCCTCCCACTGATGCCCACCCTTCCCTGAAATGTTATTGTTAAGATAGCAATACTCTCTAAATTTATCTATTGACCCAAGGTAATAGCTGTCAAAATCCTAGCTTTGTACAAACTGATATGCTGATCCTACAACCCATGTGAAATTGCAGGGGACACTGAATAGCCAAAACAATCTTGAAAATGAAGAACACAGAATGAGGACACACACTTCCTAATGTCAATATGTATGACAGTGCAACAATCAATGTAGAGTGCTGTTTCTATAAGAGTAGACATATAGATAATGGAATATAATAGAGATTCCAGATATAATCACATGCGTGTATGGTTTACTGTTTTTTGACAAGGGTACTAACCACTGAATGGGTGAAAAAGCGGCGTTTCACCAAATGGTACTGGAACAATTCAATAGCCACTAAAAAAAATGAAGATGGAAACTAAGTTCACACTATGTACTAAAATTCACTTTAAAAAGTCATAAACACAGGAACTAAAATGCAAAACTCTTAAAAGAATGCATGGATAAAATTCATGGTCATGAATTTTGCATTAAATTCATAGATAAAAATATTGCTAAAATGGTAAAATAGATGGACATATTAGTAAATAATATATCTGATAAAGGCTTATATCTACAACATGTAAAGGACATTTGTAGTTCAAGAAAGTCAATCTAAATGAAAATGGACGAAGGATCTGCATAGATATTTCAACAGAAATGGTAATCTAATGGCCAATAAGCACATGGAAACATTCTTATTACTAGTCAGTAAGATATGACTCAAAACCAGAATGAGATAACACGTTATACATATTAAGATATTTAAATTCTAAATATTAGATGATAGTTTTGAGAAGCATGGATAGAAATAAGGATTCTACAGTTTACTGGGAATACAAAAATTCACAGAAATTTTGCAGAGCAGACTTATAGTACAGAAAATAAATTCAGATAGAGACATACATGAAACAGCGGTTCCGCTTTTGATATATTACTAACCAGCTGGCTTAGGTCCTTCTGTTCTACTAAGACAGAAACCATGGGTAGATGAAGAAAAGTTCCTCCAATTATCCCATGCCACTGGTAGTTTTTTATAGGCAGCAGATTAGACGACAGTGGGTACTGGGAGTCAGATCTGCTCCTTCAACAGTTTGGATGGTAGATATACCTCAGCTTTAAGTCTGAGGACCCTGACAGCTAGAGAAGAGGCTGGGGTTTGGGCCTCAGAGTTCAGGGTGAGGTTCTAACTGTTAAAGGTCTTTTATCCTCCAGACAGGGACCTGCTGTGGCAAGGTTCTCTCTGATAGCCAATCATAGCTGGCAGCTGTTAGTTTCACTTTAATGGCCTCTGCTATCAATTTTTCTTTCACCACTGCCCTGTCATAATCTCTGCTGCTATATTTTGCTCACCCCAGTACTACTTTCAGTTTCCCCAAGCTCATCAGCTATGGTTGGCCTGAGATTGTCTCACCAGGGGCCAGTTGATTCATACTGTCAAGGATATCACTTGCTACTACTTAGCTGCTGGGGCAGCCGTATGCTATTCATCCAGCTTCCCCTGCATCTTCTCTTCTTTTTCATTTTATCATCACAGCAAAGATAGGAAGAACACTAGACAGTTTTTATTGAGACCTAATGTTGCCAATACTGCAGGTAGAGCACAGGAAGTTCTCTCTCAGATGCTCACAAATTGAGTTGAGCAGCCTGGTTATATAGCTAGAAGGGAGTAGGTGACAATCATGTCTGCACCAATCATGGCAGGTATCTGATACAAATGAAATGCTGTCTTTGCACCAATCACAGATCTTCTGTTGGGTCACCAGGGAAGTACTCTGGCACTGTCTTGGGTGGAAAAGAAGGCAGGGTCATTTAAAATTTACTGACATTCTTAATGGAAGATATTCCTATGCAAGCTTTAATGGGACAGAGCCTTGTGGAGACCAAGTTGTGTTTCCAGTGTGTAGCTCCCTCACAGAAAACATAAAATTAACAGAGACAGAAAAAATACTATCCTGTGGTATAGGGCGCAGAAGGATTGCCTAATCAGAGGTGATAAAAGAGTCTTGTGTCTTTTACATGAGGAAAAATATTTTGAAATTGACTTTTATTATGAGAGCATATCTGTGAATAGGCTAAAATCATGGAAGTGGATACTTTGAATGGGTGAATTGTACATTATGTGAAATTTATCTCAAAAGGCTGTTATATACAAGAAAAAATTTAAGGGGAAATGAAAGGGTCTTCTGAATGGATTATCAATATTCTCAATATAATCAAAGCTATGTCTTATGTTCATTTCCTCTACCTAAGCAAAACGAAGGGTATTTTTGTCATCACACATGAAGCAACTAAATAAGCAAAGACATCAATTCTCTAGGACAATCCTATGGCTTAACAGCTTCATTTTGTGCTAAAACAAGGCATTTGGTTTGGGGTATCAGACTACTCAAAACTGGGGTAGGTATGTAATAAAGATGTGACCATGTACTTCTCCTGTACCACCTACCTATTTTAGATGTCTGCTACCAGGACGAGGGTGCTATGCCTTTATATTCCTGGTAGGTTTTAATTTTCACTTCTCATAATTCCTTTCTTAATATGTGGTATTATGGCTAATTTTTCTTCCTAATATATTGAGGAGTGCTTCCTGATTTCCATTTATACATAAACACATACACACACACATATATTATAAAGTTTATGTGTAAAACAGGTATTATTTCTTTGGTATATTCCTAAATGGAACAGAACAGGCTATTGCCTGAGACAAAGAGTTTCAGTTTGTTCTAAAACTAGGCCTACGTTTTGAGTTCTCAGGCTACTCAAATCCGTGGTAGGCAAGGTTTGCCTTTCCCTGCTTCAAATTTCAGTGTACTGGTGTCTCAGAGACCCCACCCTTCTGAGGCTCACTGAGGACAACTGTTGCCATAGCTACATTGTTACCTAACTGGCAACTATCTTTAAAATTCCCTTAGCAGGCTCTGGGCCTCCAGAAAGGAGACAACATTCATGTGGTGAGGACAGGGTTGTTCTGGAAGATATTGGACAGCCTGCTACCTTCACCTGGGTGACCAATTGAGAACGTTAGAATCCTCTGGCTTTAAATCTACCAGAGGTACTACTTTCCTCAAGAAGTGGCCCCAGTGTTCTTTCTTTTTACTTTGGTGAAGTGCAGAAGATCAGGTGCAGACATGTGTGATCCAGATATATTGGAGGTTCCAGCTGTGATATTTGACAATGGTTCTGGACTCTGCAAAGCAGGCCTGTCAGGAGAGACTGGACCCCGCTGTGTCATCAACTCTGTCGTGGGGCACCCTAAGTTCAATATACCTTCAGCAAGAACTAATCGGAAGAGATACTTTGTAGGAGAAGAAGCCCAGCGTAAGTACGACACCTTATATTTGCATTACCCCATTGAACGTGGCCTGGTAACAAGGTGGGATGACATGGAAAAACTGTGGAAGTACCTTTTTGAGTGGGAGCTAGGAGTGAGACCAATGAACAGCCAGTCTTGATGACTGAACCCTCCTTGAACCCAAGGGAAACTCGAGAGAAAACTGCAGAAATCATGTTCGAGAAATTTGGTGTGCCTGCACTCTACTTGTCCAATCATGCAGTGGGAGCTCTCTATGCCTCTGCGTGTGTCACAGGTTTGGTGGTGGACAGTGGGGATGGGGTCACTTGTACTGTCCCCATTTATGAGGGTTACGCCCTGCCTCATGCCATCACCAAGCTCCATGTGGCAGGGAGAGATATCACTGAGCACCTCATCCGGCTTCTCCTGGCTAGAGGATGTACCTTCCCTTGCATACTAAACAAGGCTGTGATGGATGATTTGAAAGAGAAAGTGTGCTTTGTCACCTTGGAGCAAGAAAGAGATGTACACAAGAGAGAACAGGAATTCCCAAGACAATACAAACTGCCAGATGGGAATGTCATCCACATTGGGGACCATCTGTTCCATGTGCCCGATGTTCTTTTTGCACCTGACAGGCTGGGCATCCATGACCCAGGACTTTCCAAAATGGTCTGCAGCAGCATAATGAAGTGTGACATGGACATCCAGAAGAACCTCTTTGCAGAGATTGTGCTGTCTGGAGGCAGCACTCTCTTTCCTGGCCTGGAGGAAAGGCTCATGAAGGAACTGGAAATGTTGGTTCCCATAGGAATTCCCATCAACATTACAGCTTCTCCTGATAGATGTTTCTTTGCATGGATTGGTGCATCCATCATGACCTGTGTGAGCACTTTCAAGCAGATGTGGATCACCTCTGAGGATTTCAAGGAGTTCGGGAAATTTGTTGTTCAGAGAAAGTGCTTTTAAAGAGCACTGAACATGGCACAGGGCAAAATGCCTGATGGCAGGAGTACTGGGGGAGGTAACATTGCTCCTTGAGCCTCAGTACAATGTTCAGTAAAAACTGTTTTCCCATTTCAGGTTTCAGTTGATTCTTTGTGGCGCCAAGGTAATTTCTGATTATGTCATGAATCTTTAAGTGGTCCCTAACCCACCTTTTCTGTCCTATAGTACTCTACAGTTTTCTCCTGAGAAGTCGGGTCATTAAGTCAAAGTATCATTTACATGGTTTGTAGTAGCAGGTTCCTGACCCTCATGTCTAGAAACTTAACCCAATTAGGTCAGTAGATCTTTCTTTTCAGTTGCTGTCTTTGATAATTCTTATAGCTTCTGTCAAAGGACATGGAATCAACAAGAAAAGTGGACAGAGTACACGGAATGCAGCAGTAAACAATAATGCTATCCCACCCATTCTTAGGACTCAAACCATTTCAGTGGGTTAATCTCTTAACACTATATAAGTCTTTCTCTGATATGACAAGAGTCAGTTAAATATATGGAGGGGCATGTTATTCCAAGGAATTTCCTTTTGTTTAAGTTCTCTAAAATCAGGGAATTGTCTCCCAGTCCAAGAATTGATGACAATGACTAGTTCAACTTGATTTTTAAATTCTTTTTCATTTGTTTTACCAATAAGAATATACATAGTATCATTTTGATAGGTGTAAAATATAGGAAATACTAATGATTCACAAGTGATTATTGAGCAAATTATTCATAAAGAATATTTCCCTCATTAATTTAGTGTTATTTGCCAAAACATTTTTGAGAAACAGAAAAGGCAAAGAAATCTTTGTAATGCAATCTATTTTTGGAAGCAAAATAGTGACTGATACTTTTTCGTACAGTGTATATCTATGCTCAATTGTCTGTACATATATAAATGAATATTTTTATATGATTAATCTATTTTAGTAAAGCACAAAAGGATAAACACCATGGGTTTGCATAAGTTGTTAAGAATGTATAGAATGCATTAATGTGAATGTGGAAGGAAAACGGGGGAGAAATCAAAAAAGAAAGGACAAAACTAAAATTTTCCACCTGAATGAATGAAGTGTTCTTTTAGATGAAATATTTTCCTTATATCCTGCACATATCTTCTACATATTCAGTAATGTTACATTGCTGGTTTAAATATAACCATGAAACGTGTTCAGATACTATAAATCACTATAAATCAGGTCTTTTTTTTATATTTATGTGAGAGAGTTGTTTCAATAGAACATCTCTGTTTATACATAGTATATCAAAATCAGACTGAAACAAGAATGCAGTAGAATGATGCCTTCAAATAGAGATAGAAAAAATAAAACTATCACAGGGAGTTAAACCTTACAATCAATATAGGCCTATATAAACAGAAAAACCATTGCAAAAGAATTATAAAATCTGAAAGTGTTTACTGTCAATAGTTAACTACAAGGAAAGTTTATAAAATTAATTAAATATACATGTCTGAAATACCAAGTCAAAATTCCCTTGAATCAATTTAAAAAATGAAGTACAGGAAGGTAAAACAGGTCCTGCCTAGTGATGGGTACCGGGGGGAGAAGGGAGGGCAAAAGCAGAGGGTGAAGGAGGACGAATATGGTAAGTGTATTTTGCATTCATGTATGGAAATAGAACAATGAAACCTACTGAAATTGTTCTAAGTAGGAGGAAGGGAGATGAGGGAGAATGATGGAAGGAGTGACTGTACTTAAGATATATTGTAAGTACTTATGCAAATGTCATGATGCATTCCCCCTGTACAACTGTCATAGGTTAATAAAAAAATTAATTAATGGCATAAAAAATAATGTTAGAATTATATATATAATATATAAATTAAGGAAAAGCAATTAATTTGGGAAATGCTAAAAATAGGTATTAATTTTAAAATATTTATCATATAAATGTATAGTATTAAAAGGACCTAAAATATTGTAATACATAAAGGTATAAATAGAGGCTATTGTTTGGAACTTAAAATCTTTGTGTTTGTTTTATTTACAAAAAAGAAATATTAACTAAATTTGGGACCATTCTGTTAAATCTGAATAATTTTGATCATAAAGGCTAAGGGAAATGTAGGTAGACCTATATGCTAATAAACTGAGTCCAGAAACAAATACAGACATATTTAGAAATCTGATCTTACTGAATTTCAGATAAGTGGTGTTTTGGAAATTATGTAAACTTATGGAAAAACAGTAAGTGAAAAAAAGCATGTACAGTAGCACACAGGAAAGGAAAGAGAATGGAGGTAAGGAAGCAAGGAGAGAGAAAAAGAGGAAAGACAGAGAAAGAGAGAAAAACAATTGTAGAAAAATTAAGGACTCAAATGTGAAACACAATATTTAATTTTTAAATAATAATGTAGAGTATCTTAGTTTTGGAATAGTGGTACTAATTTTTATCAATGCAGTCTAAGGAAGTTTCATCAAAGAAACCACTGAGGAGTCCTCAATCCAAAACTGACCTGCATTGTAGTCTGATTTGTATCCAGAACAGCTCTTCCTTACTATTATTATTATTATTATTATTATTGTCCTGGGTGGGGGTACATTGGAGTATTTACAATGATTTTTGCAATGTATCAAATATATTATACTTGAATTCATCCCGTCCACTGCTCTCTTTCATCCCCCCTCCCCCGGATTCCTGGTTCAGTTTCAACAGGTATGACTTTTGCATTTACATACATGTGTATGTATTATTTGCACCATATTCATCCTCCTGCCCCTTTCCGTACCACCTCCCTGTCCCCTACCACCTCTAGTCAGAACCTGTTCTGCCCTCTTGTTCTCTGATTTTGTAGAGAAAAAAACATAGAAGAATAAAAAGACATGACGTTTTTGCTAGTTTCCTTGTGCTGTTTCCATGCATGTATGTACTATAACTCAAATTGGTTCATCTCTACCAGTCCTGTTCACTACTCTCTAGTCCCCTTCTCATAGTGGGTTCTGCCAGTTTAAGATTACTATATTCACTCCTATACAGTGAGCACAACAACCACATTCAAGTTTTCGGTTTACTTCCCTTTTTTTATCCCTCCTGTGGAAAGTCTCTCCTTAATGTGTGACCCATGTCCAATAATACTACTGCATTTGTTTTAGGTCTATAATATGCATATGAGGGAGAACATGCGATTTTTGGCCTTCTGAGCCTGACTAACTTCACTTAAGATGATGATCTCCAGTTCCATCCATTTACCTATGAATGAAAAAATTTCATTGTTCTTTGTGGCTGAGCAAAATTCCATTGTATATCAATACCACATTTTTAAATCCATTCATTAGTACTGGGGCACCTTGGCTATATCCATAGCTTGCCTATTGTGATTAGTGCTACAATAAACATGCGTGTGCAGGTACTTTTGTAGTAACCTTACATTCCTTTGGGTCTATGCCTCTGAATGGTATTGCTGAATCATATGGCAGATCTATTTTTAGTGTTTTAAGGAGTCTCCATATTGCTTTCCATAGTGTTTGTACTAGCTTACATTACCACCAGCAGTGTATGAAGGTTCCTTTTTCCCTGCATTCTCACCAACATTTGTTGTTGTTTGTGTTCTTGATAATAGGTAATCTAACAGGAGTGAGGTGAACTCTTACTGTGGTTTTGATTTGCATTTCCTTTATGAGGGGGGATTGTGAGCATTTTCTCATGTTCTTTTTAACCATTTGGACTTGTTCCTTTGAAAAACTTCTATTTAGCTCAGTTTCCCATTTCTTTATTGGGTCATTGATTTGGGGAAACTTTAGTTTTTTGAGCTTCCTGTATATTCTGGTTGTTAATCCCTTGTCTGATATATAGCTAACAAAGATTTTCTCCCATTCTGAGGGTGGCCTCTACAATTTAGAGACTATTTCTTTTGTGCAGAAGATTTTTAAATTTATGTAGTCCCATTTGTCAATCTTTTCTCTAAATTTGCTGAGCTGTTTGAGTTCTACTGAAGAAGTCCTTGCCTATGCCTATTGCTTCCAGTGTATTTCCTGCTCTTTCCTGTACTAGATTCAAGGATTCAGGACTGATATGAAGGTCTTTTATCCACTTTGAGTTGATACTATTACAGGGTGACATGCATGGATCTCCTTTCAGTTTTCTGCAGGCAGATATCCAATTTTCCCAGCAGTATTTGTTGAAGAGGCTGTCTTTCCTCCATTGTATATTTTGGGCACCTTTGTCAAAAATTAGGTGGACATAGCTGTGTGGATTCGTATCTGGGTCTTCTTTTCTGTTCCACTGGTCTTCATATCTGTTTTTGTGCCAGTACCATGCTGCAAAATAGTCCTTCCCTAGTAGAACCACCATACTGTTATTTGACAGACAGCAGACTATAAGAAGTGTGACCTTGGCATAAGGTGACAAATCTCAAAGTACAGAATCTTTGGTCCTTGATCTGTATGCTCCCTGCATTTTGAAGTTTGTTAACATATTCTTTTGACCTCCACACCAAGCAAAATAATCATTCAGAAGCAGCAGTGCATATAGAAAAATGATAGAGATTATTGTTATTATAGGCCTGAAAATGCTGGAATGATGGTAGTAATTTAATTCACTAATCTAAATAATACAGAAGCTAGAGTAATTGTTAGAGTGAAAGAGGCACAGAATACATAAGTGGAAGACAGCTCAAATGCCAGGACAGGGTTTATTTGGGAAGAAGCCCTGTGGAGGGTAATATCTAGTCAAAACCAGAACCCTACTGTCTCTTACAGACTTGGAGTAGATATAAGGAAGGGGTCTGGAGGAGACGTTTTGCTGGGCAAGAAAATTTTCCAGAGTGAGGAGATAAGTGGTAGTCAGCTTAGATAGGTTGCTCAGCTTTGGACCCCCACAAGGTGAGTGTTTATCATTTCCTTGAGCCTAGGTGTGGTCCTTCCATTAGGTATAGTGGTGAGGTATTTCCAGTTAGCTGCCTGCAAAGGTGTGGGGTCTGATCCTAACATGGCTTCCCTTTTGTTCACCCTAACATTCCT